GCCGGGCGTGGGGAGGGGGAGGAGCCCCACAGCTGCCCCTCTGTGCCGCCTGCGCCTTCCCCTGCACCAGCCGAGGAGACGGGAGGCATGGCTGGCAGACCAACAGAGCTTTTCCGAGTGGTGCGTGTCCTGATACACTCTGGTCAGGAAAAAGATGTGCTGACACCATCGGCAGCCCGTTGTGACGACTTTGCCCAGCAGTTCAAGGAAAATGCTGCTCAGATTCACCACAAACTGGACTCCACAGTTGATGTGACTCCAGATTGGGAAGTGTCCTGAACACTGTCTGGGCCATCATTCTTGGATGAATTCCAGGTGTTGTGGCCTGATGACGTGGACAAGGTGCTTGGGATGGTACGCCCTACCACCTGCTTGCTTGACCCTTGCCCTTCCGGGCTACTTAGGAAAGCCAGCCATGGGATTGGCACCAGGCTCAGGAAGTTATTAACGCCTCATTGAGGGAGGGCCGGGTCCCTGCCCCTTTAAAGAAGGCTGTGATCCGACCTGTCCTGAAGAAGACACCCCTGGACCCAGAGGTGGCCGCCAATTATAGGCCGGTGGCCAACACCCTGTTTTTGGGCAAGGTGTTGGAGTGGGTGGTGGCGGGACGACCTCAGGCACTCTGGGATGAAACGGATTATCTGGACCCATTTCAGTCTGGCTTCAGACCCAGTTATGGTACTGAATCTGCCTTGGTCACCCTGTATGATGACCTGTGCAGGGAGAGAGACGTGGAGTGCACCCCTGTTGGTCCTCCTGGACCTCTCAGCGGCTTTCGATACCATCGACCATGGTATCCTTCTGGATCGGCTGGCCGAGTTAGGACTAGGAGGAGGTGCATGGCGGTGGTTCCGCTCCTTTCTGGGTGGCCGATTCCAGAGGGTGGTGCTGGGGGACGGTAGCTCTGCAGCCTGGCAGGGTTGCCATGGGGTGTCACAGGGCTCTTCTCTGTCCCCCGTTCTATTCCACATCTAGGTGAAACTGCTGGGAGATGTCAGCAGGAGGTGTGGGCTGCGGAAGCATCAGTACGCTGACGACACCCAGCTCTACCTCTTGTCCACATCTACTCCAGGTGAGGCAGTGGCTGTCCTGAACCGGTGCCCGGCCAAGGTAATGGGCTGGATGCGGGCCAATAAACTGAGCCTCAATCCAGATAAAAGGGAAGTCCTGTTGGTGGGTGGATTGAAGTTTCAGTTAAGTGACTTTGACCTTGTCCTGGACAGGGTAGCACTGCCTCTAAAGGACAGGGCCCGCAGCATGGAGGGTGCTCCTTGACCCATTTATTATTAGTATTACTAATTAATTTATTATTGTCTATTGTATGATTGTTTTGATTATTGTGGTTCATTTTAAACTTGTAAGCCCTCCTGAGACGCTGCTGTGAAGGATGGGGTACAAATGCTTTAACTTAAAATTACAAGAATTAAAATGAAGATTAAATTAAACCTTTCACTTGAGAGTGTGTCCAGGCACAAGGGGGAGGAGAAGCCGTTAGTTCAGGCAGCTTTTTTGATAGGGAAGAAAGGATGATTCGAAACAAGGAAACAGGAAGAGTGAAAATGTAAGGACGAAAATTCCTTAGCCATAGGGGGAGGGGGCCGGGATCAGACAGCAAGAGGGAATTGGCCCGTGGACAAGATGGCAGGACCCTTGCTCAATGGCCTTATGAATATTAACTAACAGACCCTGCATAGAAAACCGTCTCAT